ATCCTATTATTTAGCCATTATCTCTATATTTTAGGAAGTTTAAGTTATTTATTTGTTTTAGGTTGTTATCATTTAAATTAGATTAGATAAGATTAATTAGTTATCTTTTTAGATAATATTATCTTATAAAGCCTATTTAAAGGCTGGATTATTTTTAGTTAATGAGAGATTCAATTTTTCATTTCATCTTCTTCTTTTCAGGATCCTTGATTTTTTAACACATTAGCCAATTCTGTTTCGTTTTAATTGCTCTCTGGGTTCTCTAAACTTTTAATTTTTCTTTACTGCAGAAAGAAAGAAGCTCCTCTATCTTTCTCAATGCTTTGGAGGTTTTTCCTTCTTGCCTTAATAGCGTAAAGTGTGAATAAAGAAAGCCTTGGGTTTCAACTACCCAAAAAATGCAGAGTTTCAGACTGCTCCCTCTCTTTTGACACATAGTATGTGCTTATAATGTATTGAATTCTGTAATTATGAACAACTAGTTTTTGGCAGGAGCGTGGGGCAGATGATATATCTTACTGGTATCAAATTCAGTTCCCCTACCCTTTCATCAGCTATCGTGAATCTCACCCCTATTTTCACTTTCTTGCTTGCAATCATGTTCAGGTTGGTGAAGTTCTGGACCATTTTTAATTACGTCAGTTTGCAAAACAAATTCAATCTGTATGAAATGTCATTTTGTTCCTTTTTTTTCATAATCTGATAAAAAAACAAAAACAATAAGGAGAAAGAAATTCCCAATTGTGCTTTATCCTATAGGATGGAAAAGGTAGATTTCAGAAGATCAAGCAGTCAAGCCAAAGTCTTGGGGGCTATTGTGTCAGTAACAGGAGCATTGGCGGTTACTCTATATAAGGGCCCGCCAGTCCTGGCGGCTACATCATCTTCTAACTTTCTTCATCAGTTTCTTCTCTCTAACTAAAGGATTCTAGGTGGATTATTGGGGGGTTTCTTCTTCTATTGACTAGCTTGTAATCTGCAACATGGACTATTTTCCGGGTAATATATGTGCTTGATTTAGCTCACAAGCCATGACCAGATTGGACTGCATAAAAATTCCTTCTCTGACTTATTGGTTGTGGTACTGGGACTTAGGTGTTTGAATAAAAAAGTATAGTTTTGCACTTAAAATATTTCTGGCAGAATTATCAAAATACAGTATTCTCTCCATTTTTAAACAGAGTGCCTATGATACATTATCAAGTCTAAAAGTTGATTTGATTCTGTAATTTCAGACTGCAGCAGTTAAGGCTTATCCTGATGAAATGACAATTGTATTCTTCTTCACTTTCTTTATAACTGTCCAAGCTGCAGTCTTTGCTCTCATTTTGGAACGAAATCCAGCTGCCTGGAGACTGAAATCTAGCGTTGAAATCATAGCCATTATGTCAACGGTGAGAATGACCTCAAAACCTAACTGTAGACTCTTGGATGGGGGTTTGATTTGCTGATTAGTGAACTTTTTTATATCATTGCTGACATGTTAGATTCAATTACTTCAACCAAAAAACAGTTTTGTAACTGAATCTATTTGCAACAGTGGGTTAATTACCAAACTTTCTAACTTTGTTCTCCTTTGAATTTCATATTTCCAACCAGAGAGAAAATCTCAGTGACATGTTTGGAGATTTCTGTTGAGATATAATACAAGAAGCAAAATGGTGCTAACATGTTTTGTTTTTCTCTTTCTCAACCTGTTGGAAACTTTGCCAGTAAGGAAATACCACATGCTGATATGGAAGTGTTATTGTAGGCAATACTTGGGAGTTTGTTCTGGATTGCTATTCATACATGGTGCTTGCGCAAGAAGGGGCCTGTATATGTAGTCATGTTCAAACCCTTGGGAATCGCCATTGCAGTAGTTATGACAGTCACATTTCTTGGGGAAATCCTTCATCTTGGCGGGTATGTTTATTCTTCTCAGAACATAGAAACTAGATCAGAACATGTCTCTATGGACCATATCTGGTAACTTATCGAAGTTTGTTACAACTTCAATAACAGACAGTGATATGCACATTCAGAAGACAGCTAAAAGTCTACTTAAGACATAAGAACAAACATAAACAACCTAGCTTGTCTTAAAATGAACATTTAGATCATGGTGATTCAGATTTAGATCTTAGCTCAGACAATTTATTATTGTTTCATAAATGTAGCAAGTCTGTCATTATAAAGGGGTAAAGATGGTCTGGTTTATTTTTTGTTGCAGTGTGATTGGGTCTATTATAATTACAGTTGGGTTTTATGCTGTGATGTGGGGAAAAAGGAAAGAGAAGAACATGGGTTTGCAAAATGAAAACTCTACCATGGAGTCTTCTGGTCCAAAGACTCCTCTTCTGCAGAGCAGCGAAATGGTATGAAGTGTGTAATGTTTTTCTTGAAAGGAGGAATCTTTCTAATGATTTTATATGTACTTGTTTTGGCTATTTTCATAATCACCAATTGTATTTATACCTTCTTGATATTGAAATGGCACTATCATTGAATTAATTATGATATCCATTAGGTTTTATGCTGTTATATGGGAAAAAGAGGAAGAAGAAACAATGGTGGATAACTCTAGAACCTCATCAGATGACTAGTTAGCTCTGTTGCTAAGCTATAAAGTTGAAGATAATAGAAATGTCAATGCGAGAAAATAGCTAGAATTTGATAATAAATTGGACGTGTGTATCTAAATTTTGCACTTCCAATCAAATCTTTCTCCGTTTGAGGAGATATGAACAACCTAATTCTGATCCTAACCTTCTCAAAACTGCAGAAATCGAGCAAATAATTGAGAAAACTAACATGAGATGTGCACTTTTGGCCTATTTGATAAAATAGGAAGTAAAATAATAAATCAAGCTGTGAAGAAACCAAAAAGATGTTCGTGAGGAGTTAGGACCCTTGTTCAGTTTTAAAATATAGGCTTATTTTTTATTGCACCCTTCACTAAGATGCTGGCCGGATTCTTAATCACTGAGGTTTTGATGTAAATCTTCTAATTTTGCCATGAATAACTGCTAAGCTGGATATTCCAAGTTAATAACCTGTCATACCTTGCCTATCAAAATAAATATGTATTGCTTCACTCATCCATCACAAGAAATTGAGACAGATATTTTATATATATTTATATATTTGAATAATTGAGACCAAAATTTGAGACTAATAATATGTTTGTTTACACCATAAATTGCAAAATTTTATATTAATGCCACGTGTAAAATTTTTATTGGCTGGAGGAGTTTTGAGCCATGTCAGATTCGGATCCTGGGCCCCATGACAGATCAGCACGTGAGTTGGCA